GCTCTACTGAATGATACTCGAAGCTAAGCAAAAGACTTTGTGAGAAGAGAAGAAGAGAATTATTAACGATTGAAAAGTGCGTACTTACTTTTGGGACACCCTGGACATTAGTGTCTGCTGTGGATACTAATGCTTGCGCGAGTGAAAGATCTTAAAAAATGCTCGATAAAAATATGATTTCTCTCTTTTTATAAGCCTCCAGAACTTTTGGATTCGGGCTTCAAACTTGGCCTGCATCAGACGTGCAAGTCTCTGCCGCCACCTTGTAGAGCTTGTTTTCCTTACAAACGGTAACCTAGACCCTTCTTGAAAATAGGAAGTACAGGACTTATTGTGGCAAAAGTCAAAGAATAAGAAGATTCTTGTAACAGCCTAATAAATGTCAAAAAATGTCGCTTGGTAGAGCACAACAAGCTCTACAAGATGGCGTCGAAACATACTCAAAAAACTGATTCACATGAAAACTTTGGGCCAATATTTAAAAAACTTCGCACACCCAAAAACTGGACGATTCTTGTGCAAATAGTACTAACCTCCAACTCGCTCAATATCGCTTTTTAAGGGGTTTTTCAGTAAATCTATTCTTAAAAACTGGTGGATGTAAAAGACGTTTGTAGTTCAGAATATCCACATGGCTATAGCTCTGTAAAATGTTTTGGCAAGAGAGTGCCACCTTTCATTCTCTCGATTTCTAGATGTAGAAAAAAAACTAGACAAGTGCATATACAATACCACCCGTAATTTGTGAAAAAAAATGGCGGCGGCACTTAACTTACGCGGCGCCGCCGAAGTTAGGTGACTTTTGCCGCGTCGCGCGGCAAAAGTCGGCGGAAAAAGCGGCCAAAGTCACCTAACTTTGTCGCGCAACGCCTAACTTTTTATAAAAAAAGACCTTATCTTGATTCAAAATTCATGAATTCTATATATAAGAGTACCATTCAACTCAGCTCGGCGAGGCGCATCTTCCAATATACGGATGTGCCTAGTTGTGGGATATAAGTTTCTTTCCTGGAATTTAAATGTAAATGGACCATTCAGTGTGCTTATTCCAGAGGCTACGTACACATTCTATTGAGCACAGCAGAAATAGGGCAGGTATAGTTTAAGAGCTCATTCTGCATGGATATATGTGAAACTGGGCAGCTCATTCTGCATGGATATGTGTGAAAGTGGGCTTTTCTCGGCGAAGTATGACGGGTCCCAAAATGCAGGAAGACAAAGAGAAATGGTTGGAAATCGCATGAGAAGCACATATCGCGGAATGCCGCGCGTGCTGTGCAATGTACAATACCACTCACAGAACGGGAATTGCGCGAAATTCCAGAAGTTTCGCGATTCCGGATTATCGCAAATTATGCAGCGCCATAACTTCCTTCGGAATTAATATATTCTAAATTCGAAAGCAGCACTGTGTTCATCTCGTGAAGGCGAATCTTTCTACGTACATCATGTCATCAATATCTTGTTTTCAGTTTTCTCAAATTGTTCTGAGGAGGTCCCTTTGCAAGTATGTAACGCAGCGCCTATCCAACTTGAAAGCTTCCAGTAAGCACCATTCGATAGTGCTCTTCTTGTGCATTATAGTGCGCTAGTAAGCTGCCGCAGACTTCTTTTCAAAAGAGAAAAAAGCGTTGGTAAATTCTGGAAAAATCACTCGTTTCCAGATTCTACTTGCCGTAACTTTCTTTGGAGTGGATATTTTCTGAATCCGAAAAATGCATTGTGCTCAGCTCATCAAGGCAAATCTTTCGGTATGCAGAATGTCCTTGATATCTCGATTTCAGTATTCTCAAAACTTTCTGCGGACGTCTCTTCGCAAAGGTGTGAAGCAGCGCGTATTGCCCCCAGTACATTCAGAAAGAAATTTTCAATAGTACTTCTTTTGTAGATTATGGAGCGCTAGAAAGTAGCCGCACACTCCTTTTCAAAGGAGTTAGAAGGGCTGGTGAATTCTGGAAAAATCATGTCCTTCTAAATTTTTCTCAACGTAACTCTAAAATATGAAGCTCTCTTGCTAAGCAGATGTGATTTTCGTAACCAGCAGGTCGGATAACCCTTAAGTGCAAGTTTTCCAAGATGTTCAAGTAATTTCATTTTTTCTCGTTTTACGCTCTGAAGCTGGCCGATGGATTTTGGTCAAAATGTTCATGCTCTTAAATTGTAAGGAAACTTCGCTTATAGAGGTTTTCGAACACGCTCTTTACGAAAATCGTGGTCTTTGAGGATTGCAGGGTCTTTTTGGTGAGATACGGTGAGGTGACTGTAACTGCATCACGAAAGTGCGTAAATTGGCCCGCACTTCTCGTGTATCTGTCAGCAACCTTGCCTGCTTGCTTTTCTCAGCCAAAGTTACTAGGAACTGCGCTACCGAATGGTGCATGAATCAGGCTCCAGTCTGTAAAAATCACCGAGTTACGAGCCTATGAAAACACGTCCTCATGAATTTTGCCCAAATTGTAAAGATCGCAAATCTCGTCGAAATTCCACCGTGAGCGCTTGTACAACACGCTGATCAAAATCTTTCGCGTCCTTAATGGATCCTATTGTGTTAGATTTAGTAGTTTGAGTTCTAGCCACTGAAATAGCTCTGATATTCAACTGAGCAGCTGAAGCATATGCAAGTACCATATTCAATACAGTGGGAGTTTTTGGGCGAAGCGAACACAATATCCGCAATGCGAGTGTCATACAAGCGCTCACGGTGGAATTTCGACGAGATTTGCGATCTTTAGATTTTGGGCAAAATTCATGAGGACGTGTTTTCATAGGCTCGTAACTCGGTGATTTTTACAGACTGGAGCCTGATTCATGCACCATTCGGTAGCGCAGTTCCTAGTAACTTTGGCTGAGAAAAGCAAGCAGGCAAGGTTGCTGACAGATACACGAGAAGTGCGGGCCAATTTACGCACTTTCGTGATGCAGTTACAGTCACCTCACCGTATCTCACCAAAAAGACCCTGCAATCCTCAAAGACCACGATTTTCGTAAAGAGCGTGTTCGAAAACCTCTATAAGCGAAGTTTCCTTACAATTTAAGAGCATGAACATTTTGACCAAAATCCATCGGCCAGCTTCAGAGCGTAAAACGAGAAAAAATGAAATTACTTGAACATCTTGGAAAACTTGCACTTAAGGGTTATCCGACCTGCTGGTTACGAAAATCACATCTGCTTAGCAAGAGAGCTTCATATTTTAGAGTTACGTTGAGAAAAATTTAGAAGGACATGATTTTTCCAGAATTCACCAGCCCTTCTAACTCCTTTGAAAAGGAGTGTGCGGCTACTTTCTAGCGCTCCATAATCTACAAAAGAAGTACTATTGAAAATTTCTTTCTGAATGTACTGGGGGCAATACGCGCTGCTTCACACCTTTGCGAAGAGACGTCCGCAGAAAGTTTTGAGAATACTGAAATCGAGATATCAAGGACATTCTGCATACCGAAAGATTTGCCTTGATGAGCTGAGCACAATGCATTTTTCGGATTCAGAAAATATCCACTCCAAAGAAAGTTACGGCAAGTAGAATCTGGAAACGAGTGATTTTTCCAGAATTTACCAACGCTTTTTTCTCTTTTGAAAAGAAGTCTGCGGCAGCTTACTAGCGCACTATAATGCACAAGAAGAGCACTATCGAATGGTGCTTACTGGAAGCTTTCAAGTTGGATAGGCGCTGCGTTACATACTTGCAAAGGGACCTCCTCAGAACAATTTGAGAAAACTGAAAACAAGATATTGATGACATGATGTACGTAGAAAGATTCGCCTTCACGAGATGAACACAGTGCTGCTTTCGAATTTAGAATATATTAATTCCGAAGGAAGTTATGGCGCTGCATAATTTGCGATAATCCGGAATCGCGAAACTTCTGGAATTTCGCGCAATTCCCGTTCTGTGAGTGGTATTGTACATTGCACAGCACGCGCGGCATTCCGCGATATGTGCTTCTCATGCGATTTCCAACCATTTCTCTTTGTCTTCCTGCATTTTGGGACCCGTCATACTTCGCCGAGAAAAGCCCACTTTCACACATATCCATGCAGAATGAGCTGCCCAGTTTCACATATATCCATGCAGAATGAGCTCTTAAACTATACCTGCCCTATTTCTGCTGTGCTCAATAGAATGTGTACGTAGCCTCTGGAATAAGCACACTGAATGGTCCATTTACATTTAAATTCCAGGAAAGAAACTTATATCCCACAACTAGGCACATCCGTATATTGGAAGATGCGCCTCGCCGAGCTGAGTTGAATGGTACTCTTATATATAGAATTCATGAATTTTGAATCAAGATAAGGTCTTTTTTTATAAAAAGTTAGGCGTTGCGCGACAAAGTTAGGTGACTTTGGCCGCTTTTCCGCCGACTTTTGCCGCGCGACGCGGCAAAAGTCACCTAACTTCGGCGGCGCCGCGTAAGTTAAGTGCCGCCGCCATTTTTTTTCACAAATTACGGGTGGTATTGTATGATTGTCTGATGCAGAAAGTATATTTCTTGAGCAAGTTAGAGGATCATAGGATCCACAACCCTTTTGCAAGATGATCTTCTATTTGTATGTTATACAATGAGTTTCGAATACACCCGAATTTCCATGCCTGGTAAAACCAATTTTTAGTATACATCACAGAAATAGAATGGGAGAACCAAATCTATCAAAAACGCAGCTCCCTTGTTTGTGGCAATCAAAGTAGACTTATCATTGAGGTAAAACCAAGTTGTATGATAACACTAAGACATGGCATGCGAGATGAAAGCCAGTTGTAAATGAGACGAGAAAATACTTATTTGTTTTATAACCAGCGTAGCTGAACGTGGCAAACACAAGAAAAGAACATTGGCACAGATACGGATAGACTCGGCAAAAATCTAGAAAAGATGACTTTCGCACTCTTGAGAAAAATGCTGAGGTAGAGAGATATATAGAGCTCAGGATTGGTAGATAAAGTGTGAGCCTGCAGCAATCGCTTTTTTTATTCCTTTGATAGGTACTTCAAATAACTCACATTGGCTAAGGCTGTCTCAAACTCGATAATCTCCTCTGCATCAAGAGTGGCTGACTCCGAAGGTGCATGTAGTAGAACTAGCACGTCCCTGTTGTACAAAATCTTAGTACCGAGACGACAGTCAAGGTAGACTACCTGATTAGTTGCAAGTACGCTAAGCGCTCTTCATTCTCCGCTAGAACATAGAAATCTCGGGCAAATAGGTTGAGCGCCGGCTGGTCAATCTAAAGATGTAACTGTATGTTCCAAAATAAATTGAAATTGGTCATCAATTTTGCTTTTGAACGGACATGAGCAAAGCTCAAGTAGCACCTGGAAATGATTTTTTGGGAAAATTTGCTCTAATGAAATGAAAATACATGAATAGCCGAAATGAGTGCGCGTCAATCACGAATGACTTTATGCTTTTTATGGCGTTATGTGAGTTGAAGAATGCCACTGATTAATATCGATATGGTACACTCTATATTCCATACTAGTGACACTCGAGGACGGCCGCATTCAACTTCCATCTAAGCGGCAGCGGAGGAGGAGGTTAGTTCGTCTTCCACGTACTTGCGTATTTTCGTTTGTGGCATTCGGGGGTAAAGTCGAGGCTGGCTAGGAGGTGGAGGAGGTTTTTGGTGGGGTAGAGCATGATATCTAAATCTCCTACCACTTTAGGCCTCTGAAGAAGACGAACACATCGAAACGTTAGGCCGCCACTAACAATAAACATCTACTAACCTCGGTTGGCTTACTAACATACTCACACTATCACAGGTGTGATTATTTTCAACAACAAGATCAAGTTTCATGAGCTCATTTATGAGAAACAGCGAAAGCAAACTTTTTTACGAAATCGTTTTGCAGGTATTTATCCTTTTACGTAGCGGATCCGAAAGAGCTTACCACTTCAGGAGCTTGTGGTAATATTGGTTTTAGAGGCTATTGGAAAAGAAATTTCCAGAAAAGCTATGATTTCTTCGATTGTAGGATAACGCTGCAAACATGGTTGTAAGTGATGCGAGTTATAATAAACCGCATTTATTCCTGCAACACCTGGGATACCCATAAAAAATCGGAATGGTATGCGAAAGGAATTGGATTTGTGCTTGTATGCTCCAAAAAATATAGTGCTCAATTGCGTATCAATGAAGTCAAGCGTCATTCAGCTGTTCTCCAGATTTTGACCTTGCGTCCTATCTATTATTATGATAGGCTTTTTGAGTGAGCATCAAAGGTTTATTGTATATGACCATTTTCATAAAAGCGCTAGAGTTTTGTGAAGAAAAAGCCAGTTGGCCTCCAGAAATCGCCGAAATCTCGTCCCATCCCCAAATCCCTCTTCAAGACAAACGAATCTTGAGTCCAAAAGCAAGTTTAACTCTTCAAGAAGCACTTCCGATAGAATAGCGCCGTCTGCATAGAAAGATGTGATGTACTGTAAACCAGGTTCCAACTTTCACGAATATGTTTGGATTTCTGCCTACGGTAGGTTACTGGTTTGCTGAGCAAATACGTACATACATAGCTGCTCGAATCATCTGCGTACTGTATAGTGCGCAGTCACTTTTTAGCTGCGTACCTTTCCAGATACATTCAGAATTCATCCACTCTGAAGAGAGATTTGATGATGGCGCGCGGATTTCCGCGAGCTCAGTTTGTTTTTGTGACTAAGTGAAAAAGATTTTGATTTCTTTCCTGACCACTCTTACGTCTCTCAATTCCCAGTGGATTGAAGTCTTTGAATGACATTTTGAAAACAGCTTGAGTTTCAGTAATTTCAAAAATCTTACTAATAAAACGTGCTTCTCCGAGTCCTTATCGTCCGGTTGGACAGTGGCTTTGAACAGCGAGTCAGCTCGAAATTTCGCCACCATTTTTCCTAAGGATGTCAATGCTTACACAATATCGTACACTTATTGTAATGGAACACGAACCGTACAGTTGTTCGAGGGAGATATTGTCCGGTAAGCGATGCCCCAAGCTTGGCCAACCTCCGAATGATGCGACCACCTCATCAAACGTTGTTCGCCAATTGTCGAAGATTTCTGCTTAAATTTCACTTTCAATTTGGATTGATAGCACGATCGCTTGGATAATGCATGGACAAGCTCATAACAGTTGTCGCATGTCCTTTGATAAGCGATCCATCATATCAGGGACACTGTTGCCAGCTTCCGCAGTGTAACACCATCCATTATTCGTTTTTAGTCTCACAGACTCAAGCCAAAAATCCCAGCGATATCTGACGACAGAGTTCCAGCTTGAGGCAGAGCAGAGTCAAACTCACATTCATTTAGGCATAGTTTGTAGAAGAACTTTGCTTTGCCTATGGCGCTCTTCGTATCGTTTTGATCGTCTCGGCCTATTTTTTCCTCGAGCAACTCTGGAACCTGTTATTTGAGAAAAAATCTTGGACTTGTGTCTACGGACCCTTCAAGGCAAACTCCAAATCTTGGCCGAGATTTTCAAAGTTGCTGACGGATGGAGCATCGTCTGGAATTGGATGCCCTCGAATCCACTGACCACATGCGTACTCATAGAAATCCGTGCATGGATCCACCGAAGAGTTCATCGACGACAAAATCACCGACGCTAAAAAAATATAAAACAAAATCTGCGCCGATCTTGTTGATTCAACTGAACTCAACAACCAATAATGCTACAAAGGTTTCCTGTAAATCTGTTTCGCCTATTGCTCACTGTCTAATCAGTAAAAAAACGTAATTCCTGCAAACCCAGGTCGAATTTTACAACCAGAAACCTTTAAGTGGAGCCAAAAAGGTGCAAGCTGAATAAATATTGGATGGATTGAAATTAAGCCAGTGTGTTGGCAAAACAAGTTCTCTGGTATATTCGTAAGATTATGGAGAAAAAAATCTAAGCGATGCAGAAAAAATGAGCTGCAAAGCAGCATAAAAAATAAGAGTTGTGAAAGCAAAGTAGGAAGAGAAAAAGAATGATATACATAGTTAGCCTACACAGTCAGGTCAAAGGCATATGCAAGATTCACTTGTTGCAACTCTCTTTTTTCTATTACGGTGGATGACACTGCTCTTACAAGAATGATATACATAGTTACAAAATCACCGACGATCTCTCTTGTCAAAAACTTGTTTAGTAGAAGCAAAAAATAAAAGACTTCTATAATCTAACAACTCTTCAAAATATTCCCAACTTTTTTGATCTACTGATCTCACGTGTATGTTCCCTGAACGAATTTTTTCTAGTCTTGGACTTTGAGCGACCTGGCTCGTTCAAGCAACTGTTACAATCATTACTGCCCACTTGAGCTGGTTAATCTCTTCAAAAGATTTGAATTTATTGTTGAGGGTATGAGTTTTTCTCGGGGGATTACCTAATGAGCCTGTAAAAAAAATGTGAATACTTTTTCTTTTATATCCGACTTTTTGTGGTCTTTTTTACGAGCATTTGTGGATATTTCGTGTTGGCGGATATAAATAACCTCGTTTGTTCTTGAGCACAAAAGCGCGCAATTGGTAAGTTTGCCTCCAAATCAAATCTGCTCCCTCGCCCAAACTGCAAGTCGCTAGAAAGCCGTGTATCGTAAATGAGAAGAGCACCCGGTTGTAAACTGGAAAGCACTCTTCTAACCAACGAAAGAAACAGAACCTTCATTTTACAGCACCCAATGTCTCGGATTTGACGACTTGAAGTTATTTGGAGCATGTCCGATCTAGCATGGGTTGTATTCTATAATGCATTCGCGTTTAAAGAAAAGTTTCTTCTTTTTGACCCCGCACAAACTATCAGGCAATGAGTGCTTGTATGGGACCTTCCCAGCTCAGTCTTCCCTTCTTATTCTTTCAACTCATGACGCTGAAGCGCGAGCACACAGCTCTTCAACATGCGCATATTAATTTGGTTTGCTTAGGTGCAGACATCGACAAATCTCTGCAGCAATATCCGGAACATGCCAGAACGCTGAGAATAGAATGTTCAAACTGCACTTTTTACGACGAAACTGATTTGGGGTTGTTTTCTGGACAAGGGCACGTGTTCAAAAGTCAAGGATGAGCCCTATGGCCGATAAGAGTTCTGTACAATATTATATGGGTTCAAGGTTGGCCTCAAATATTCTTTGCCAAAATGCTTTCGGCGCTAGTGACTATTTCATAGGAGCATGAGTTTGGTTGCAATTTTACGTTTCCCTCTGGAAAAAAAGCTTAGCCAAAATCTCATATAGGGCTCTCTTTATGGCACCTAGAAAGAAGGGACGAAGGGATATTGGCACCGCCTTCACCTTTACAAAGATGAGTCACAGCGAATGAAAAGGCATTTCTGGCAATTAATCCTCCGTTTTTGCCTTATTATTCAAAATTTTCGTTTACTTTGATTTATCTCCTAGAATTTTTGTGGGTTTCCGGGAGCAGAAGCATTAGCGCTGATACGAAGGTGGTTCAGAGTTCTAGCTCTACAATATCGCAAGTTGGAAATTTGTCAGAAAATAGCTCCGAAAATTCAGAAAAATTAGATTTTTCATATGTGACATGTAATCATCATAGAACAAATTAGATTTTTCATACGTGACATGTAATCATCAAAAAGTACAACAGATTCAGTCTGAAAATTAGGAAGTTTTATTTTAGAAAATTTAAGGACTTTCTCACTTAAAAGGAGCAAAATTATATCACGTCCTAATGCTGCTAATAAAATAGACGAGATTTTGATGGAGATTTTGGTGCAGCGAGTATTGCACGCAAAGGCCCGACTACCGTAACGCCATCGTAATGGGAGAAACCGTTCAGATGTGGCAAAGTATTCACATCAAGCAATGATTCTGCCTTTTCCTTCAGCAAGTTGCGTTGGTAAAAAAACACAAAAATTACGTCACAAATATCTGTCATGATTATTATCCATCCCCCAAAGCAAGTCAGTGCTCCGTTGATCAGAGCAGCTGCTAATTCGCGTATGTTGTTGTGTTTCTTATAGAAATGCCGTGGATTTCTGAGCTCCTCCGGCGCAGGAGGGAAGCGTTAATTGACACGGCAACAAATTACTCCGCTCCCCGTGATTCGCTGTGTGTCGTGCCAAGTGTGAGTCTATCAATATCCATTATCTATCGCAGTCGCGATGCGATTAATCGCGATGCCTCTCAGGTCGCTGGACATTGGCACCTTCTCTCTCACACTGCTTTCGCGTCAACATCAACTCGCTTTGGACGACAGCATGCGTTGTGAAAATTAATGCCTATGTTTATTTTGTGACAGCACAATCCCCTTTGGAGCAGTCTATTTGTATTCTGTTGTGTCAAATAGCGAGTGAAAAAGTGTGAAGGACATTTTTTTACGAGTTCGTTCTTCCAAACGCCGAACAGCTGTTTGAAACAACACTAAACTGTTTATCTATGATGTGCTTAAGTAGTTGACGGAAAGTTTCGAAATACTTAAGCTTCAAGAGGATTAGCTCAAGCACAAAAGGCCTAACTGAAATCTCACTTGCCTTTTGTGGAAATAATTTCGAGCATGAAGCACATCGAAAAAAGCTTTGAAATTGGGACGATTTGGTCTAGCTTCAACTACCCTAAAGGGAATGAAGAAATATATCCAAGATTATAATGAAGATCAGAAGCGAAACCTTTTCCCGATTTAAAGGTAGGATCAAAAAACATATTGTCTAAAAACGCATAATTTGAAGTGGGAAGGAAGATTTGATACAAAGTGGACATGATAAAGATGTCAGAATGTATAAAGAGGATGAGCTAGGTTAAGATTCGATAAGAGAACACAATTCGTGACGTCAAAAAGGGTGGACCAGTATGCAAAAAAAGACTCTGAGGCTGTTAGGAGGCAATGACTTAGAGGACACAGCAAAAGCCTTTGAAAAACCAATTTTGATGTTTCAAAAGGTGATTCTTGATGGGCGGATCAGAAACTCAGAAAAGGGAATAGAGACTTTTAGAAAGCAATTTTAAGCACTGAACAGAGCGAATGAAAAGTAGCAACAAAATGGACTGACCTGTTCGTATGCATCCCGGTGACATGCATATATCCTCGTTATCATTGCTGAGGTACAAATATAATAACCCAACGAATAGCAGTAGTGACAATAGAAAGAAGAATAGCGCTAGTCCACCGAAGACACGTTCCCGCGCAGCCATGCGCTTCTGGGTGGAGGGACCGAGCGGCTGGTCCCTGTCGCGAGCTGCTTTGGTCGTGGTGGTGGTGCCCGAGGTGACGGCAAGGGCTACTCGGCCGTCCGAAAGCTCCGTACCCACTGCCGAAGTCGCAATATTGCCGTCCAGGATGCCCTCTCTACCACCACCGCCTTCCGACCCTCTCCCCTCAGCTATGGTGAATTTCGAGTAAACCACCGTGTTCTTCTGCAGTTTTGTAGGAAATCCACTGAAATTTGTTTAGAATAAATTTGAAGTCAAAACGTGTCATGGAAAAATTGAGCATCGAGATATACGCGTTGACAGACAAAGAAAGATAGAATTTGTTACTGATATAGTTAGTTCAGAGGTGGACCCTAGCATAGGTTAAAACCTCGGGTAGGGATGATTTGAAATCTGCTCTTAAGATCATGGTGAGGTTAACCAAAATGGAAGAAGTGGATAATAGGGAAGGTTTAAAAGAAAGCAACCCGTGGGTCAGCTGGCGGTAGGGTGAAGAGGGGGACGGCCAAGAGGCGCGATTTCTTTAAAGGTCACCAATATAGCAGCTCAATATAGAGTCATGTGAGTATCAACAGAGGAAGTGCTCTAGCTTACTAACTATCTGCAGTTACTGCTTGCTAAGTTTTATGGCTTGTGGTGAAAAATTGAAAAATTCACGAGAATGCGATTAAGTTGCAGTTTCGCGGGATTTTGACCTCCAAAGCTCATATTTAAAATTTAATTCAAGATATAAGGTTAAACAGCCCTGGCAACGGTCTTGCATATCTCCCGGGAATCAAACACTAAAAGCGAGTTGGGTCCATATAAAAGTAACAATCGCATCTCTTCCCCCCCCCCCCTCCCTTTGGTATTTATTTCATCACGCAAAGGTGATAGATGGATTTTTTATTCCATTCATGCTAAGATGAGTCAAGATGAGTCAACGTAATCTTTGCTTTTTACCTAACATCAGAACCAGAGTTCTGGACTGTGGAAAGAGCAAAAAAAGCAGCAGCTCAAAAGCAATTAGTGAAGCTTGGTTGAAAGCAGGTCTAGTACACCCATGACGGAACACATTTTTGTAAATTTTCCTTCTGATAAAAACCCAGAGGTGATAAACATATGAAAAGTGGAAGGAAAGCAGATGATCAAAAGCTGAAATGACGATGATCGATCAATAGAGGACCATCGTATATCAAGAGAGGCGGGGGGGGGGGGGGGGAGGGAGGGACAGTGTAAAATGGCTCAGTGCCCAACGCTTCAAGGACCACTGACCTCGAGTGACCTATGCGGAGTTTCAAAGTTTTCAGCCCGAGGCTGAGGCCAAAACTCTTGATGACAGCCACAATTCACGAATAAATTAGCTTAATCAAGTGCCATCAAACAACTGCACTGCACGCTAAGTAAGAGAGTTTTGGAGTGAAAGATTCCACCGTACTGCTAGAGAGGGAGAAAAGCAATTCCCTTCCAAAACCTGGATGTGCAGATTTAGTAATGGAGATAGGCATTCGCATTCTTTCGTCCAATCATTCCGTTCTATCTGGATACTCAATCAATCAGCAGCTGATGCATAAGAACAGCTCGTCAAAGCTTGGAAAGTACACACTGCATTTGAAACGTGAAGAGTTTACAGAGACCACAAAAAACAGAGAAACTCCTTACTTTACTTTGCTGCACAATCTATGTATATGCACTCGATTGATATTGCAAACCAGTAAAATTTTCAAGTGGTGGTGTCCCGCTTCTCACAACTTCGAAAGTTTTACTGAATTTGGTTCGCATAATTTAGAAAATTTGTAGCGCTAATAAATAATTGCTAGTTTTGTCAAATCCACAGCAGAAACTGTGATTATGGAGTCATATTTTGTGCGCCTATTGTGAATCGTCTAATTTGCAACGTAGTTTGCAATTTTTTCGGATTATTTCTTGCATACTCTTTATTAGGGTCGTAAAGTCATCCCAATATTAGACAACACAAACTTAACGTCGATAAAAACTCATTTCGTCGATTTTTTTCACTCGAAAATAAAGAAGAAGATGAACTGTAAGCTCCCGCGGTGCGTAAAATTGGAAGAATTCTACAGTGCAGCTTATCTAACAAGATGAATAGTATAAATTCAAGATTGAGTTTTTTAGTTGTTTTAGACCAGGAGGCTTCATATATAAAAGGCTAAAAAAGGTAAGGATTAATGAATGAAAGTAAAATATGAGCTGAAAAACAAGATTTTGGCATAAATGAACGATAACCGATACAGAACGGCTGTTTTGGTAAGGATGACTTCATTCATTCGAAAAAGGAAGTAAATTACTAGGTCCTAGAGAACCAAGAAATGATTGACCATTCGCCTGAAGACTAGCAATCCAGCGCTTTCGGTGCAAAGAGAGATTTAAAATGAATGAGTTATTAATCACGGAGAGAGCAAGCTGACAAATGAAAATGGAACCACAAAACGAGTCAGCTACGTGCCGAGCAGTGCGAAAGGGGTCGCAATGGCAAAACAATGCTTTACTGAGTTTGTAAATATGTGAAGGAAGTGAGGAGGCGACTAGAATAAACACACAGCGAAACATAGGGAAAATCTCAAGCTACTACGATATAGGCGGCCACTTCGGGGGTACAACGCGGGTTCAAGGAGCAGAAAAGTGGACCGGACCGATGCTCGTCGGGACAAACGACGTGGGACTCGAAATACGCGCTTGAAGCTGGCAGCTAACGCACAATGCCGGAGGGCGGCTGTCGACGGCTGAGGTGGTCATAAAGACGGACGCAGTAGGAGGAAGCAGCCAGGCAGCGAGCGCTTCTTCGACAATTGAACAAATGAGGAAAACGCCATTGGAAAAACTATTCAATTTTCCACTTTGCCTTCAATCACTCTGACCGAAAAGGATTCACTTCCAGTGAAAAGTGTAGCTATTAGGTTGTCTCATATTTCAACCCTACTAATAGTACATATTTCTACAACACACCTAAAAGGCTACAAGTACATGATCGTACTTCTGAATGTTTATACGATTACGTGCGTGAGAGGAAAACAAAACCTTCAGGGCAGAGTTTGTCAATTCACTCCCATCATTTTTCTCTTCATTTGTAATTTGTCTAAATGGCAGGTATTTACTTGAATCAAGTGAGAGACTTAGGAAGTTCTGGGACGGAGATACGATTTTTGACTCTTATTTCGTTTTCGCCTACGATTGGATATCAGTTTCATATTTTACCTGGAACACGGTTTAAGCAGAAGCATGATTATTACTGTAGAGTTGGTTGCTCTGCCGAGTAACGCAAACACTATACAGTGCTGGACATAATTATAGGGACACTCTAGAAATCGTCGTAATTTTCGTTCTTGTCAGTGAATCTGTCTGAAACTTTGCTGTATGGTGCGCATGTAAGCCTACCATAACTCCTCAGAACGGCTTCCAATCCCGTTGATTCCAAACGGAGAAAAATGGAAAAATTCGAAAAAGCCTGTTTTGCAAGCTGGACATAGTTATAAGGACACCTGGCCTTTTAAAACATTATCGCATTCCTTGACTCCCAAATTTTTTTGTAGAGTTACATCCCAGAATATGAAACTTTTGCAGCAACTAAGACCTGTCATGCTACTCAAGGAAAGATGATCCTTGCATTTTTCGTTTCCAAAGGCATCAGAAGTCAAACTGCGTCAACAAACAGCTGGTTTGAGGAATTTTTAAGCCCGCGTTCATTTCAAATGACAGTCCTGGAATACACTTAGCCTTTTTGATAGATAACGTGAAGAGCGGTTTCGTAAACTCCGCGTAATCGCTGATTTTGACCTCCAACCTCAACATAGGATTGTCGCGCTTTTGAACCACAAAACTCACTTTCCAATGTTCGTGAAATGATGGACTCGATTTATTATATTGTCTACATGGAGACGCAGCTTTTGCAACAACTTTCAGATTTTTTCTAGTGCTGCAGTTGGCATTTAGATTTGAAATACTTTCCACGAAATTTCTCTGCGAGCAGTAGATTCAACACAATTACAAATCTCACTATATCCTTCTCTGTTTCATGTCGCATTTTACGCGGTAGGTGAGATTAGTTAAGATTTTGAAGTTTCAAGCGCTCTCCTGTTCGATTTCTTGATTTGAGTTGGATATGATTGTGCAGGGTGCTCCACTCAACTCTCAACGGATGACAACTGCGGCTGAACCAGAATGTGCAACCCCGAAATTTTTTCCTGACTAGGCAAACAAGTTTATTGTTGTACGTGCATTGTTGCGGCTACATTGCAGCGTTTTCTGTAACTTGAAAATCGAGTTTTGTGGTTTAAAAGCGCGACAACCCCATGTTGAGGTTGGAGTCTGTCCGTCAAAATCAGCGATCACGCGGAGTTTACGAAAGCGCTCTTCACCTTATCTATCAAAAAGGCTAAATGTATTCCGGGACTGTCATTTGAAATGAACGCGGGCTTGAAAACTCCTCAAACCAGCTGTTTGTTGACGCAGTTTGATTTCTGATGCCTTTGGAAACGAAAAATGCAAGGATCATCTTTCCTTGAGTAGCATGACAGGTCTTAGGTGCTGCAAAAGTTTCATATTCTGGGATGTAACTCTACAAAAAAAAATTTGGGAGTCAAGGAATGCGATAATGTTTAAAAAGGCCAGGTGTCCTTATAATTATGTCCAGCTTGCAAAACAGGCTTTTTCGAATTTTTCCATTTTTCTCCGTTCGGAATCAACGGGATTGGAAGCCGTTCTGAGGAGTTATGGTAGGCTTACATGCGCACCATACAGCAAAGTTTCAGACCGATTCACTGACAAGAACGAAAATTACGACGATTTCTAGAGTGTCCCTTAATTATGTCCAGCACTGTATATGGGGAAGAGATAGAAAAGCGATGCTTTGGTGATCAGGAAAGGATTATAAGACAACCTAATAGTTGTTTCTTGGTTCCGACTTATTAATCGGTGACATGTGTTACCGTATGCTCCACTATGCTATATGTGGATGCTTTGCAGCATTGTAGTGTGAGCTTCCAATGGTAATCTTCAAAATGTTTACGTTTTGAAAATTTTGCGTGCTCAAATATAAATTCAACATACGCCATGAAAACACGCTGTGTTGGAAGAAAAGTGTTCAGGTAACAGTAGGGGAGAACCAACATATCACAGCTCATGTCAGCCATATGCGTTGCATAGGTCAAACCTTTTGTGAGTTTCAAGTTTACCCTATGCTGATATTTGAAAGTTTGGACGAAACGCTGGATTGTCTAAGCGCCATTTTTT